ACTATTAAAAGCTTGATTTTGCTTGACAGCAAGGTTGATATTCTTGTCCACACACACATCTATGTTTTTTTTTTATTGAAAATTTTTAAAATTTTACCCCAACCCTCCCCAACCTTCCCAGAGCTGAATACAGGATTAATTACAATTTAAAAGAAAAATTTTTAAACACAAATGAACCATATACAAATTTGGTTACAATAATTAAACAAATCATAAAATACTTTAACACCAATACTTAAAAAGTAGAAAGAGAAAAAGAAAAGAAACAAGAAGAAGAAAAAAGAAAAGAAAAAAAAGAAATTAGAAAGAAAAAAAAATTATCTAAAAAATATCTTAAACTTTAAATATAAATTATTCAAAAGCTAAATAATATTTTTTTATACTTGTATTGTATAAAATTTATCCATCTTTTCCATACCAAGAGGTACTTCTCTTGCAATTGATCTTTCAAAAAAGCCGAAATCTTTGCCATTTCTGCTAAATAGGAAACTTTAAGAAACCATTCTTGCAAAGTAGGCAAAGATTCCTTCTTCCAGCATTGCCCTACTAACAACCTAGCCGACACACACATCTATGTTACATGCACTGATAGCCCTATAATTTTTAGATTGCCGGGGACAGGGATGTTCTGTATCAATTAACTCATTGTCCCCGCTGTTTAAATATTCCTCCAGAAAATCTGTGAATTTATTGCCAAGTAACTCAGTCCCTTTCTTTGATGGATGCAAACCATCTCTTTTGTACATTTTTTTATTGGACCAGCTACAGACATTGTGACTAATATAATCAAAGCCTTCCCCTTTACACCAGTGCTTTAGCACATATCGAATTCTGCTATATCCTGGCCTTTTCCATTTTGCTCCTTATACACTAGTAACACCTTTGAAAAAGTAAGCCTACAGCCTATCCTGCTAAGTTCCTGCCCCAAGCTCTGGGAATCATTCTGCACAGAGTACATCTTTTTGGGACAGATCGTTAGTGCTAAGATGTACAATAGCCTTCACATCAGTCCTTGCTGAAATTTTTGACTGCTTTAGAAGTGCGCTTCTTGTCCCTGCTGGCAGTAGCACCTGGAAGATACCTGACCTCTTTCAAAACCTGTGTCCTTTCCTAAATTTACATCTCTTATAATTGAATCACCAACCAGAAGGTGGCTTCTCTTTTTGGATGCCTTTCTGTTCTTGCATGATTGATGTGTAATACCTGATTTGCACTTCTCCCTGTTGAAAACAAGTTCTTCTTTTCGGACCACGATCCCCTGCCTATTTGAGTTATCATCACAAATACCTTTACCTGTCTCCTTAATGTCCCTATTAAGGTCAGCAAGGGCACTGTATCTGTTGTGCAGGGACACAGCGAAAGCTTTGTGTTTATGGTTCACAGCTCTCACCCTGCCAGATCCCACGGTTGTCCACACTGCCCTTCTGCAGGATCTTTGTGGTAGAGGGGGCTGATAGCGCGGAGGCTCAATAGAGTAGAAGGGTTGATGCAAAGAGAAATGTTGAAGGAAGAAAATAGCTGAGATGGCAAAGGGGAGGGTGTTCCTGGAAATAAATAGAATCCAGAGCTTTCAGATATAAGCAAATTTGGGAGATCCATCTGTTTAGCTTTAAGCCAACTCTTGGATCTTACCAGTATCTTCCCCCATTGCAATATTTATAAAACTTTATGATGATTGTAAGATTTTTTGGGGGGGAGGGTCTTCTCTGGAGGTAGAACAAATGATTGTGTGTCTCCGTATAAATTTGTTTTCAAATTATATACCTATAAATAATTCATCAGACCAAACTGAACCTGAGAAACTGAAAATATCCTAAATAGCATGGAGATGACTATAAATGTAATTTGCTACAAAAGATTGTTGTCATGACCCTACTTGATGGAAATCAAATAATCATGGTTGGGGGATCATTCTCATGGTTACATTATCTTCTCTTAAGTGTACAGCAGCCATTTCCAGGGTAAATTGTCCTTATCCCTGCCAAATGGAAGTGTTGGAGTGATAGAGAACCTAATGTTGGAAAGGCTGATAAACAAAATTAAAACTTAGGATAAAATGTGCCATTTTTAATGAGATAGCTTTTATTACAGTTTTTAGTAATTTATATTTACCCAAAATTTAATATTGCAATCCTACATTCACCTGCTAGTAAATAGAGCTTATTTCCAAGCAGGCATATATTGAGCTCTACTGCACACAACAGAAAAAATTCCAAATACCAAACTGAAATTGTATATTATAATTTTCAATCTAATTTATCAAAGACTGAAGGAACTCCTTGTTCAAAAAAGTGAATTATCACAATGATTTTCTCAACCGTTCCCTAAACATAAGTATACTTTAAAAAGGTATTTAACTGCTTTTATATTATGTAACCAAATTCATACTTGTGCTTTCTACTCCGTTTTTTTTTTTAAAAAATCTATGTAATTATTCATGGCTCTTTTATATTCATGTTATGCTTGATTAATAAAGCACAAACTTACAAATTAAAGATAATATTGCAGTCATTTCTCCGTGGGTTGTGAAGGCAGAGGTTATACATCTATTTGAGGAAAGATGTGCAATCAACATTTCTCCTTAGAATTTTAATAATTGTGATGATGGGAGGAAGAAGACACTTTAGACTTTTTTTTTAGTCTGACTTTCATGTGTTAATGCACCTTTCAAAACCCAGATGCACAATAGCATTCTACAATCCACAGATAAAATACTTTATTTTTTAATAATTTGATGCAGCAGGTGACAGGTGATGCTCTGCTGGTTGGCAGATGTTTACTACACGAGCTGAGAAATGGCTGAATCTTTTGGGAAAATAGAAGATAAAATAGAAGATATGCCCACAGCATATACCATTTTTGGCGCAGTTGGGTATCACTGTCCTCTGTCAGGAATGAGAAAGAAAAGTGCCTTTTATTCCTCCTTTTTCTCATACAGTGATATCTGCTGACAGCCTTCCCATAGAGTACACTTTTTAATAATTCAAGATAGCTTTGTGAACCAGTTGTACCTTAGGCTCTGTGAACTTATCCTTTAGAAAGATGAGTAATAGGTTTAAAATATCTCCTGACAATTGCAAAAGAAAGTATATTTATTTTCAACTTTTATTAGAGACATCTGCAAGAATACCAAACCTGTGAACCAGAAAGATGTTTAAATGAAATGCAAAACTTAATTTATTTTTATTAGACTTGTGTGTCACCCAAATAAAAGCTAAAATAACTAACATTTCTTCATGCTCTTACAAACAATAATAATAATAGTAGTAAAGTTGGAAGGGACCTTGGAGGTCATCTAGTCCAACCCCCTGCTCGGGCAGGAAACCCTACACCATTTCGGACAAATGGCTGTCCAGTCTCTTCTTAAAAACTTCCAGTGTTGGAGCATTTACTGCTTCTGGAGGCAAGCTGTTCCACTGATTAATTGTTCTCACTGTCAGGAAGTTTCTCCTTAGTTCTAGGTTGCTTCTCTCCTTGATTAGTTTCCACCCATTGCTTCTTGTCCTGCCTTCAGGTGCTTTGGAAAATAGCTTAATATCAGCATGCACATATGAGAAAGAGTGCAGGCTGATATTAAAGCAGGTTCCATATTCATGTAATCCAACCTGCACACCACAACTATTATAGCACAACCATTGGTTGTGCTTCCTTTTTGAATGTTATTTAAATCTTCAGACCATTGTTTGAATATTGGCTTCAAGTTTTTCTTTCATTTTGTGTGATATGCTTGCTACAAGTTCTAATCTTTCTGTGTTTTATTTTTGTATGTTATTGCGTTTTATTCAGTCACCTTAATTGACTTTTGTCTTAAAAGGAATCTGAGAAATATTTAAAATAATTATTTATTCAGGAATTGCATGTATTGTAATGTTAGACATATAGTACAGTAACAGCAGTCACCTGTGATATACGAACTTGAGGGATGGTAATTGGCTAGACTCCCTTTTCCTAAAGAAGAGAAATTGATGGGATCTACTACGTTTGGGGAGACAGTTGTATATATTAATATCAGGACCTTTCTCTTGTGTGGCATGGAAATATATTCAGCTTTATCTTAATTTCAAAATATTAACAAAGAGCAATAATTGAATTATTACCTACTGCAGACAATACATTTGGACAATCATATCTCAATGATGATATGCAAATGCCCACTCTTCCCTAGCATGTAATTACCTCATTCCTTTTGTGTGTGCAAGCTACTAAAGAAGTGAAAAATATGCTAGGAAGTTGTAGCATATGTGATTTTCAACAACGTCTGAATTAAATGATACAATTTATGACAATCAGTCAAGATATGAAGAATATAAACTGTGATTTCATATTTTAGCTTGTGGGAAACAGCTAGTCATAGTTTTCCAGTACTGATAGCACCTGTCGCTAAATGGTTGAAACTATTGTTGCTAAGGGACTAATCACTTCATGACAGAGGCTGATTTAAATTATATGGGCAAATTCAAATGGTAGAACATTCCAGGTAGTAAGAATGACAAGAAAAAAACAAACAAGATTCTATGCTTACCATAGGAAACCAGCCTGGATAGGCTCCTTTCAAATCAGACTGAAACAATATTATTGGAATTCTAAGCAATTCAGCATTGTCCTGGATCTTCTAAAGAAAGGTACTTGAATGTACCCTAAATTATTTCCTTTTAGATTAGTAACACAATATTCCCAAGAATACTGTATCTAATAATGAAGAATAGTATGTGATACTTGTGTCTACAGAATGTTTATATTCATTTTGATGTAGATGTTAATCTGCGAGGAATCCATCATATATTATTTAATTCCCATAAACCTAATATATATTTTGACAGATATCAATGTAATTGATTTTTGTCTTCCCCAATTCCTATTCTTTATTTGTTAAGAATAAATTGTCAAATGAAAATACCATTTTTTTGTTTTTCTTGTACTTATTACTAGGCTACTTGTAAAATGTTGATATTATCATACTACCGTGTGATTGAGTGTACAGGAAATAAATACACAAAGAGTATAAAGGAATCCACTTTAACTGCTTTGCAAGACTAAAAATGAAATGTGCAAACCAAGCATTTTATATATGTCACAAACAATGTGCAGAAAAATACATAGTGGTTAATACATTTGAAGCTTTTTGAAACAATTCTTTAATTACTAGAAGGTTGCATTTAAGCTTATATAAAACAGTTGAGATAGTGGATTGAATACTCCAATCACTGCTACTACAGGTCTTCTGTAGGTTTCAATGGAGCTTGTAAGGTAAAAGAGAGAAGATACTATAACAGTGGTTGGTGAATATTCATGTAATCCCTAGTGAAATTGATGAATTGTGCCCAAGAACTGCATTGTATAATTTAATTCACAAATTGCTGTGCTCTTCCTGGAAATGTATAGACACATACTTTGGAATGAAATTCACAATAAATGCCAGTAACATTAAAACAGATAAATAGCTAGCATACTGTACAGTAATTGAAGTGTATTTTTTTTACTTCACATTTCAAATAAATGTAGACATGTCCCCAAAGCCAGTTCCATTCTCTTGAATCAACACATGCTAGGCACATGGAAATGTTTTAAAAACATTACTCCATGTGCAAAGAATCAATTCAGAGAGGAAACTTAAATGTTTCCTTTTTAAGTACGTTTCATGGGGCATTTTCAAATTATTTTACAGAGGCAGCAGTATTTACTTTCAAGAAATATAAGCAATAAAGAAATATAAATGATAAAGAATAGAAAACCAGAAAGGAAAGCAGGTAATTTCAGGTTTATAAGTATTCTGCAAATTCAAGAATATATCGAAGAACTTGCTATAGTTTAAAATACAGTAACAATGCTAGCAATTCAATCAGATAAGAAGTAGTTAGAAGAATCTCCTTAAGATTTTTAAAACAGTGTACAGTGTTTGGCTGTTTAAAAAGATAAGTTATAAAAAATAGAAAGAAAATCAACAAGTTGTCAGCAGAGGGCTTTTAAAAATCTGTTGAGGTTAAATTATTCTGCCTCCTTTCTTCTCATTAGGGAAGGAACACACAATAAAAGTTTGTTGTGCTTTTAGAAACTTGGGCTCCTGCTAACTCGACCGACATTTCCTCTATAGCTGTTATAACATGTAAGTCTCTGAACTGAGTTTAAGATTTGCTTCTATTCATTACAGAAAGTTGAAGAAAAATCAGCTCGCTAACACACAGCATGAAAGGCATAGTTTCTTTATATATAAATTGAACTTATATTTGTGAAAACATGAGGGATTATATTATGGGCTTGCTTTCTAAAAGCAGTCTCACAATTTTTTTAAAAGTATTAATCTCCTCCACCCCAGTTTATATAGTTTTGGAAAAGTTGCAAAAATGTAAGAGAATGCTATGGAGATACACTGAATGCACTGCTTATCTACAACAGTGTATATTTTCTATTAACAAGATGTGTATGTGCTTTCCAAGTGTGAAATTTAGGACTTCATTTATGTAAAAGAAATAGAGGGATTGCTCTTGTCACTTAAGGTCTTGGTGTATTATTATTTCTGATTATCCTAACAAGAATAATATACAAATTCTTGGTTGAATTTAACCTGGCAATAGAGATATGTAAAGGACCAATCAAAATGTAGTTACAACAGCAGACACACAATCAGGTCACATTTCCAATAACATTCACAGGGACCAGGAATAATGAAAGAGAGAGACCACCCAGCCACATTGGGAACCTCCAATTAACCGATCATAGGCTGCTCACTGTGGAAGTGCCTTGAGTATTGCGTTCACTTCTTCCGCAACTGCTGTCAGGGCAAACTCAAACTGTTCCTGTGGACAGAACATTCAGAGTTGATATTCTGCAGTGTTTCTAGAAATTCTCATGAAAACAATCAGGACCTGGCAGTTTGATGATGATGATTATTATTATTATTATTATTATTTTAAATGTCAGGGTTAGTTTAGTGAGCAATCTTCCATATTGCTTGATCATTGTTATTAAAAGTGGCCTTAACTGAAAGATACTATTTAATACTGCAAATTGTTCACTGATGTGAAAAGACTGTGAACAATAAATAATAATATGAAAATCCTGTCAGTATGAAGTGGATAACTGAACAGCAAGATATGGAAAATAGGTGTCAAATCTGTTTCCTAGATCTCTCTCTCTCTCTCTCTCTCTCTCTCTCTCTCTCTCTCTCTCCCTCTCTCTCTCTTTGTGTGTGTCATAAATTCTTAAAAATATGAAGCATACTTGTTGACTTTAATACTTGAATCCTTAGTCTTGGACTCCCAGTTTCTTTCCAGGGAGATACAGATACATGTAATCTTGACTTAAATAGTGGCACTATTTTATTTAATCATGTGTTTCTGATTATAAATTATTCAGAAGGATTTCAAAAGACTGGAACAATGCTCTGATTTTTATAGTTTAACTCCCAGATTTGAACTTATACAGTCAGTTTCATGAGGTATCTGGATTTATTGCTTGAGTCAAAAAAGATGGAATTAAATTGTGGTTTAACCAATATGTTAACCATCCATGTTCTTGGCCACCTTCAAAAATGTGGTTTATTCTGGTATAGCATTTTGTTTCTGCCATGTGAAAAATGATCAAATATTATACCCTCAATCCTAAATTTTTGAAACTTCACTATCTTTTTTTTTTTTTTAGTTAGAGGCACATTTTGAGTATAAATTTTGTAGAGATTTATAGCACAGGAAAAAACACACTGCTCATATTCTTCAAATCTACTGTCATACCTCTATTTCCAAAATGTAAAATTCTTCCCTAATGAAAGAATTCATTTTATACACACAGCATTGCACTTATTTATCTGAAACCTGGCAATCTTATTCTACTCAGAAAATTCTATTATGTTTGAAATTATTTATGCAAAAACAAAATAGGTACAATTACTTTAAAAATAAGATAGTAAACATAAATAAAAATATTTGTCAAATGAAGTTTTAAATTTAGACTGCAATTGAGCTGGTTGATAGCTGACATATAGCTGAATTCTCATAGCTGGTAACTTCTTGTTGATGATAAAATTAAAATGGATTAAAGGAAAATTGAGTGTACATTAAATGTTTTTAACAATGGAAAATAGCCCCCCAGAGTCCTATACAAGGAGATGGCTACAGAAACTCAGTAAATGGTGGTTTGTTGGCTTTCAAGGTGGTATTGGTAAGATTATGTGGCATTAAATTGCTGGCAACTTTTAGCAAATACACAGATTCTCTTTAGGTGGATCTTTCTCCAAGATGCTTAAGGTCTGCCCACTAATGCTACAGTTAATTGCATTAATCTTGTTGCTGGTTGTTTTCCTCTCTTGTTTTCTTCTACCTTTCACAGCATTACAGATTTCTAGCTCTTTGCATATAATGTTGAACCTGGTCATTTATCCTCTGAGTGAGAACTTGGGGTTGCTTTCTTAGTTGATCCATTTATTCGTTTTCTTGGCTATCTACTGTATGGTATTCTCAGGAGTCTTCTTCATCACCAATGTTTAAAAGTATCAACACTTTTCTATACTGCTTCTTCAAAGTCTAAATTTTAATTTCCATAAACTGTTAGAGAAAACTACTGCATGCAGAAACCTCGTTTTGTAGGTATGGATACATCCTGGCATCTGAATATATCTTGTAAGGCCTTCAGGGTTTCTCTACCAAGGGCTAGTCTGTGCTGTATTACTTTATTGTTAGTTCCTTTACTGCTGTTAATTGATTTTAAAAGGAAGAAGCTACCCACCATTTTAGTAACTTTATTGTTCATTCTAAGGCTAGTTGCTACATCTGCTGCCCTGGTTTTTTTTAATATTTAATCTTAGATCCACTTTTTCATTTTGCCTTTTTACTTTCATTACTAGAGCTTGCAGATCATTTGCATTTTCAGCTATCAGAGTAGTGTCATCGGCATAGGACAAATTGATGGTATTTCTTCCCTCATTTTTAACAAGTAGTAATGAGCAAAGTTCCGTATTAACTTCCCTTTCCAGTACAAGAGCTTCCTATAAGTAGAAAATATTTTTAAGAGATCTTGGATATTGACAACTTTACTATGCAATATTTCAATATACTCCTTTCACCTTCATTTTATCACCTTTAAATCAGTGTTCTTTAGCACAGAGGTTCCCAACCCCCAGTCTGTGGACCAGTACGGGGCCGCGGCATGCCAGCAACTGGGTCGCACAAACAAGCAGAGCCTCATCCGTGGGATGGAGGCAGCATGCAAAACCATACCCCCTCCAGTCCATGGAAAAACCTCTCTCCACGGAACCGGTCCCCGGTGCCCAAAAGGTTGGGGACTCTGCTTTAGCATACTAATTTAAGGATAGAACTTCCTTCTGAGTTCAGAGATCTTTTGAAGACTTTTTTTTTTTGTTTTTTTCTTGTCTATTTCCAATTTCAGTATCTTTACAGATTAATTTTTGTTTACTTGTTTGTATTCTGTCTTTACTATTTTTACAAATAACTCAAGGCAGTGAAGTTATCCAACATGCCTTCTTCCTCCTATTTTCCCCACAACAACAATCCCGTGAGGTGAGTTTGGTTGAAAGAGAATGACTGGCTCAAAGTTACCCAGGTAACTTTACAGATATTGTTGTACTGTAATACTGCTTCTTGTCTCTTTTAACAGCTTTCAGAAATTGTTATCTTCCTAAGATATTTTTCTTTCTTGGCTATGGCTTCTTTTTATGGTCAGTTTTCACTATCTGTTCTAATAGTGAGATGCTTTCCTCTGAATCTGGATCTTCAGCAGAATTTTTTTAATATTCATCCTTAACAGCTTCTTTCAGTTCATTGCACAGTTTGTCTGGTTTTCTATCCATGATGTTCAAAAGCGATTCTTTATATTCTCCTTAAAATGATGGAAGCATGCTGAAGATCATATTGTGGTTGACTATCTTTTCTTCTTTGGTTTATCTTGGAGCTTGCATATGAACAGTTTATGTTCTGTTTCATAGTTGGCTCCTGGCTAGCTCTATCACTAACTGGTTTGGTTTTTAGCTTTTTTTAAATTATGCTTTTATTATTTTTATAACTCAAGACAGCAAACATACCTAATTTTCATTCTTCCTATTTTCCCCACAACCACAAGTCTGTGAGGTGAGTTGGGCTGAGAGTGTGTGACTGGTCCAAAGACACCCAGCTGACTTTGATGCCTAAGGAAGGACTAGAAGTCATAGTCTCCTGGTTTCTAGCCTAGGTCTTTAATCGTTAGATGACCAAACTATTTTACCACAAGCAGTTGCCTTGGAGCTGGGAAGAGAAAAGCTGCAATTTAGTAGGAGAGACAAGCTGTTTAGCAATTCATCAGTGAGCTTGTAATCTCTCCTTAACTTCATTAATTCTCTAAGACATTCTTGGAAATATAGTGATGGTAACAAGATCTATTTGCCAACAAATTTGCAGAATGCCATTGAGAAATGGACATTTGTCTAAAAAGAAAAAAGGATATTCCTTCATATTTGGGATAGGATTGGACTAAACCTACCATACCTGCTCCCAGTCAACATAGCTGGCTTTGGAAGGAAGGAAGGCTTTTTAAAATCTTTCTTTCCTTCTTTATTTCTTCTTTCTTCCTTTTTTCTTTCTATGCATCTATATCTATATGTACATATACACACATACATACACAGTACGACATACATATACATGTGTGTATGTATACCTATCTCTATATCTGTATTATCTATCTATACCAGCCACAATGAAGGATAGACTATCCAATGAAGAATAGATATCTATATTTTTGAGAAACGAGAAAAGGGAAATTTTGCCCTTTCTCACGCTAAGAGGCTAGAGAGCCTCTGAGAGTCATTTCTTGGATTATGTACTTGCCTCATTCCATTACTATATTACTAACTGTCTTATGAGAAAATCCTAAAACTCACTTGGTTTCTGTTATTGTAATTTTGTGTACAATTATTTATACTGTTTGTAAGCCATATGAGAAAATGACTATCTCTAAAAATGTGATATAAATAATTTTGCCCAATTTCTAACTACTGCACAAATATATAAGTAACTTGATTCTAATCCTTTGATTTTCTATTCAGAACTCCAGAGACAGTAAGGGAGAGAAGAAACTGGGGGGGGGGGGAAGCAAACAAAGCAAATAAAAAGAGCAGTGAGTTTTCTGCTGCAGTAACAGAGCAAGGAGGATGAAAAAAAAGTGGAAGAAAAATCATTTGGGGGGGGGGGGTTTATCCACGGAAGAAAAAATATATGTTTAGAATTGTATGTGCTGATCGGAACACATTTGACTTTAAATATTAACCAAAAGTTTGAAGAAAGTGAAAATCAAAACGAGAAAACTAATTTATTTTAGGTGTTTTGGTGGTTTGGACTATATAATTCATTTCATTGCATGTTTCACTGTGGAAGAAAGAGGGAGTCAAATCAGTTGCTTTGTTTAAAAACAATCTGTAATCTAGAATAGAGATTTCCAACCTTTTGGGCACCAGGGACCAGGTCCACGGAGAGAGGTTTTTCTGGTTTTGTGTGTTGCCTGCATCCCACAGATGGGGCTTTGTGCAGATCGGCTGCTGGCATGCCCCAGCCGGTACTGGTCCACAAACCAGGTGTTGGGGACCCCCGATCTAGAAGCTGGACTTGTTCTGATAATCCTCAATTTATGGCCATAATTGAGCCCAGAATTATGGTCGTAATCATGCTAGTCACTAAGCAGGTCAGCATATGACCATGCCCAATTTGATGACTTCTGCAGTGATTGTTAAGTGAATGCTATGTTCATTAAACTACTGTATTGCCCCAAAAATAAGACTGGGTCCTATTTTTTTTGCCTCCAAAAGAGGCACCAGGTCTTATTTTGGGGGGAGGGTGTCTTTTATACTCACCGCTAGCACTGCCCAGCTGGCCCACTTCTTTTGCGGCCGAAGGAGAAGCTTCATTCTGCAGCTGGGAATGGAGCTGCAATATAGTAATAGTAGTAAAGTTGGAAGGGACCTTGGAGGTCATCTAGTCCAACCCCCTGCTTAGGCAGGAAACCCTACACCATTTCGGATAAATGGCTGTCCAGTCTCTTCTTAAAAACTTCCAGTGTTGGAACATTCACCGCTTCTGGAGGCAGGTTGTTCTACTGGTTAATTGTTCTAACTGTCAGGGAGTTTCTCCTTAGTTCTAGGTTGCTTCTCTCCTTGATTAGTTTCCACCCGTTGCTCCTTGTCCTGCCTTCAGGTGCTTTGGAGAATAGCTTAATTCCCTCTTCTTTATGGCAGCCCCAGAGATATTGGAATACTGCTATCATGTCCCCCCTTGTCCTTCTCTTCGTTAAACTAGACATACCCAATTCTAGCAACCGTTCCTTGTATGTTTTAGCCTCCAGTCCCCTAATCATCTTTGTTGCTCTTCTCTGTACTCTTTCTAGAGTCTCAACATCTTTTTTACATCGTGGTGACCAAAACTGGATGCAGTATTCCAAGTGTGGCTTTACCAAGGCATTGTAGAGTGGCATTAATACTTCACGTGATCTTGATTCTATCCCTCTGTTAATGCAGCCTAGCACTGTGTTGGCCTTTTTGGCAGCTGCAGCACACTGCTGGCTCATATTTAAGTGATTGTCTACTAGGACTCCGAGGTCCCTCTCACAGTTACTACTATTGAGCATGGTGCCACCTATGCTGTACTTGTGCATTTGGTTTTTCTTGCCTAAATGTAGAACCTTGCTTTTTTCACCATGGAATTTCATTTTGTTAGTTAGTGCCCAGTGTTCAAGTCTGTCCAGATCCTTCTGTATCTGAAGCCTGTCTTCTGGAGTGTTGGCTATTCCTGCCAGCTTGGTGTCATCTGCAAATTTGATGAAGTTCCCCATCTATCCCTTCATCCAAATCGTTGATGAAGATGTTGAAGAGTACTGGGCCCAGAAAGGAGCCTGGGGCACCCCACTACACACTTTCCTCCATATAGATGCAGTTCCATTGAGGACCACTCGCTGAGTACGGCTGGTCAGCCAGCTACGGATCCATCTGGTGATGATTCTGTCTACCCCACATTTTTCTATCTTATCAAGTAGGAGGTTGTGATCTACTTTATCAAATGCCTTACTGAAGTCCAAGTAAATTATGTCCACAGCATTCCTCTGATCCACTAATTTTGTCACTTGGTCAAAGAATGTAATAAGATTTGTCTGGCATGATCTATTTTTGACAAACCCATGTTGGCTTTTAGTAATGACTTTGTTTGCCTCTAGGTGTTCATTGATTCGTTGTTTGATTATCTTTTCTAGGATCTTCCCAGGTATTGAGGTCAGGGTGATAGGTCTGTAATTTCCTGGATCCATTTTTTTTCCTTTTTTGAGGATGGGAACTACATCAGCTCTTTTCCAGTCCTCTGGTAGTTCCCCTGTGTTCCAGGATCTTTGAAAAATATAGTTCAGTGGCTCCGATATAACATCTGCCAGTTCCTTGAGAACTCTGGGGTGTAATCCATCTGGTCCTGGTGATTTGAACTCATCTAGGCTGGACAGGTGCTCACTAACCATTTTCTTGCCTATCTTAACTTGTGTTTCTATTTTGTTTTTTATGGCACTATTTTTGATAGGTTGGTCTGTTTTTTCCCTTTGTGTAAAGACAGATGCAAAAAATGAGTTAAATAGTTCTGCTTTCTCCCTGTTGCTTGTCACCTTCTTGCCACTTCTATCCACTAATGGACCAATCATTTCCTTCACTTTTTTCTTGTTTTTTACATGTTGAAAGAACATGTTATTTTTGACTTTGGTCGCAAGCCTTAGTTCATTTTGAGCCTTGGCTTTCTTCACTTCATCTTTGCAGGCTCGGGCTATTTGCTCCGGCCTGCATTTTGCAGTCAGGCTCTTCTGGAAGGCTTCTGCAGCTGATTCAATCCATAGCTTGTTCTCAGCTGCAGAGGCCTTGCAGAACCGAGCTCAGTTCTCAGCTGCACTGGCCTTCTGGAAAGCTCTGTGACTGAGAAATGCAGACCTGGCTGAAGAAGAGGCCCTCAGAAGTAGAAGTGGGCCGGCGAGGAGAGGCTGGCTGCAAGGTAAGCGGGTGTGGGGTGCGTGGGGCAACTCTACACCCCCACCCCAATTTGATTTTAACTAGGGCTTATTTTGGGGGTAGGGCTTATATTAGGCCCACCCCCCCAAAAATCAAGCTAGGACTTATTTTTGAGGTAGGCCTTACTTTTGGGAAAACACAGTAACACCATGGTTATTAGGTGAGCCCATTATACACAACAAGTGATTTTTGCCAGCTGGAAAAAAAAAAAAAAAAATGTAAATTGCAGTGAGGGCCCTGACCATCAGAACTTGGAAACCATGTCATAAGGAGCTCTGGGAAGGTCTGTTGTAACTTGAATGGTTGCTAAGTGACTGGTTGTAAGTTGAGGACTACATGTAACTCTCAAATAAGTGAGTGAAAAGGAAGCTGAGGAGGCAGATACATTCTATCTAACACTTGTTCTTAGTGAACTATTTATAAATGCACATATAATGAATATATTCTGTCTCTAAAAATGAAAATCTAGTTTTGGTGCAAATTTCTCTCAAAAATGTATTAATTTCCCATTATTGTTAATGTTAGAAATGATTTTTATAGGCAGGAAAAATAAATGTAATTAAAAATGTATTTTTAGTGTATTATGTTTATGTCTTTGGTACAATTTAATTATCATTTTTATCTGGCTGGTAAAATTCCTATTACTCCAATAATCAAATTATGAGATTCTATTTTGATTTAAACATTTTGATGCTCCTATCACTTAGTATTTTTATCATGGAGATTTTATGGATAATTTATTGGAACACGAAATTTCTTTGTCTTGCTTTCTTCAAATGTAACAAATATTCTTGGCTAATTATCTGTTTCCAGCTTATGGCAGGGGTGGGCAACTATATCCCCTTTATGCCTACGGACTTCAACTCCCAGAATTCCTGAAGTAGCATGGTTGGCTCATGAATTCTGGGAGTTAAGTCCACAGGTTAAAAAGGGCCATAGTTGTCCACCCTCTGGCTTATAGGGACATTTTTTGAATGTACCTGATATAAATAAGTCTAGATGAGTAGAGTTGTTTTAGGTATTGTTTTATTTATTAATCTAAAGACGTATTTGATTTCATATTAACAACAATAAGAATTTTACCAAAACCAAGAATAGGTTATTTGCATTATAAAAAAAATCTACAAATGTTTAACCATATACAGTTTAATGATATTTATTCCCAAATAGCAATTCATAGAATTTGTGTATTAGTATTTAAAATCTAAGTGATTTACCTTTGTCTGGACCATTCCAGGTCTTTGATCTCTCAAATGCTCCAGAGTGGCAGCAATATCAATTTCTTTAGCACCTGTAAAGTATGGGAAAAAACCAGAAATATCAATTGAGCTGTGTTTAAAGCAATGATCATACATGCTGCATCTCTCCATCTTCTACTGGTTTCTCTTTGGGCTTATAGTCCAGTAAAATATTATATAGCAGTGGTGGTGAACCTATGGCACGTGTGCCAGAGGCTGCACTCAGAGCCCTCTCTGTGGGCATGTGCGCCATGCCCTGGAGATGGCAACCATCCCTCTTCAACCAGCCACCCGCTAACTTGCAACTGCGACTTGAGCCTGCTTAACATCCCTAGTTGGGGGGGCTGCAAGGCAAAAGAGATTGTAAAAAGTAGAACTGCAGTATAGCAGTTAAAATGCCAAGGTGTAATCAATCAGACCGGTCTGTCTGAAACATGTATGTATGTATGTATGTATGTATGTATGTATGTATGTATATACATAGGCATTGGAGAAAAAAGGGAAAACACTCATAGAGAGAACAGCTGCATGGATGTGGATTGGGGGAAAAAGAAGAAGGGGAAATGCAAACCACCACGCAAACCTGAGGGGGAAAGTGGATCAAGGGATGAGAACAACCAGGGAGATAGGGAGGTTGTTCCACCTACCCTGGAATCCAAGAAAAAGAAGACAAGTGATGACACACATGTAGATAAGGGGTGCAGGAAGAAACGGATCACCGGAGTGCAATCTACCCAATTAGGTCCGACAACAAGATCAAGGAGCCAGGCGCAGACCTTAGCTTGCTTATAAGAGACTCTCTCACTTTCTAGCGTTTTAAGCCCTGATGATGCCGGCAGGTGACGGCGAAAGCTTGGCGTTTTTTAATTAAACTTTTATAGTTTTAACTACCCTGGTGCTCATTTTATTTTATATGTATGTATGTATGTATGTATGTATATGTATATGTATAAATGAATATATATTTGTTAGCATAAAAAACAGGGTTTAAAAATTGCAAGATGTCTTGATTTTCATACTTGATACACTATCCATACTAATATCCGATTTTCACTTTCTTTGGCATTCATATACCATATTGGGAAGACTAATGGCTATCATTTGTTTGTTCAGTCTATTTGTTATTGTGTTTTTATTTAATTTCCATGTGTATGGCATCTGAACATGCAAAAAAGACATTCAAAAAGATTCTGTCTGAAACATTCCATTACTTTCATTATGAAGTGACTAAATCATCACATAGTAAACAAAAAAAATCTGTATTTGAAAATTGTTTAGGTCTGTGATGGGGAAAGTAAGAAGAGAGATAATAATCATATCAACAAACTCTATATAAAGTCAGTATAATATAGCTAGTAGCCTGGAGATGGGGTGGGGAAGAATCTCAAGTTTCCGAGCACCCATCCTGTGATCATGTGCCTGTGGGGATGGGTTCAGCATGGTGTTTTACAGTGGCCAGAGGTGTTTTATGTCCATAAGTTGAAGACTTACTTAGTAGTAGTATATTAGAACTAATATAGACGCCTGCTGAAACTGGATCACTAAGAATTGAATTAAATCACCTAAACTCTACCATGATGTTTACCTTCACAGACAAAACAATTCAGTGGGAAGAAAAAGTCTGCAACAGAGAACTGCTTCCAAACCATTAGCCATCCAGGCCAGTCATGGTAAAATGTCAGTTAATTCCAAAGTAAATAAGTAAGCTGGTTTGCAGTTTGCTGATATTTTCCTCTCTCACATTACAGGCATTAATGAAAGCACTCTTTCATCCATATTAGCATGTGAAACAATGTTTCCTAGACAGAAATTCTTTTTCGGGTATAAATTGGCAATTCAACAATAAAGATAATTAGCACAAGCCTAAATCACCATTAAAATTGAGCATAATTGAAAATAATGTGTCTTTTTCAATTGGAACATAAATACTGGTAATTTGATAATACATCCATGTATTGGTGATTGGCTTCTTTCAAGATGTTTTTTGAACTTCTCAGTTTAGTCCAGAGTCCTAGTATTTCTCTGAGGGTCCCCCATTCAATTACTAACCACACCTGACTCTGCTTAGCTTCCAAGCCCAAATAAGTGTTATAAATTACAGGATTATCATGAAGTCAAGGGCTATCATTTACCGGAGTTCATAAAATATTAAGGTTGACAATATTTTAAAATTTTTTTTAAATGCTAACACTCTTATAGAAACTATCAAAAACCTCAGTGTATAATTTTATGGATTAATTTTGACTGAATGGCAAATAGAAGCATGGGAAAACACTTTCCAGAGAGGGGGAACTTCAGGGTAATATAACACCTTTGTTTCCCAAAGAGGAAGAATATTGCTAGCTACCCATAACAGCAATCACAAAGGGCAGAAATATACATGCCAAATGATTCAAAATTCTAAACCACACACTAATGCATAGTTGAATTTGCAGAAGTCAACACCTTATCTAACAACTTTGATGAGAATGTGAAGAAAGACTTATGTGCTTATTTTACAAAAAGCCAAATGTAAAATACTAACATGATCTCCTCAAAAGATATTTCTCTCCAGAGGTTGCTGGATAGGCCTCAACTATTTTTTTCAATCAACTTGCTCAGGAGGGAGATTCAAGACTGACAGAAGGGAATATTTTTTAATACAATGCATAGTTAAGACTGTGGAATTCACTGCCAATACAGCAAATTTGGATGATTTTAAAAGAGGATGGGAAAGATTTGATGGAAGAGTATAGCAATGGCTCTTAATTTTGACTGATGTTTACTTCAGTCACAAATAGTGGTTATAGGGACAATGGCAACAATGGCAAGCATCTATCATTCTAAATCTATCATTTATTTTTCCCTAATGCATTTAGTGGGTCACTCTATGATCCAATATGCTGCATTTGATGCGCCTGTTGCCTGATTCAGCAGGACTCTTTTTATATTTATGAAATTTCTGATGTCCTATTATCAAGAATGTAAGCTAAAAGAAAACAAAATGAGCATCAAGTATCAATTCAAGAAGCTTGGGAAATTTTGAAAAGTGAGATTATAAAAGCCCAGTCTAGCACAATACCAACAAAGAAGAAAAATAACAGCTCTCAAAAGAAACCAGCAAGGCTGCATAAAGAACTCTCTGATAAATGGAAAGACAGAAAGGACATGAAAAGTGGACACATAACTAAGGAAAAATATCACCAATAGCCCGAACCTGCAAAGATGAAGTGAGAAAAGCAAAGGCTCAAAATGAACTAAGGCATGCGACAAAAGTCAAAAATAATAAAAAAAGCTTCTTTCAACACGTAAAAAACAAGAAAAAGGTCAAAGAAATGATTGGTCCATTAGTGGGAGAAAGTGGCAAGAAAGTGACAGACAACAGGGAGAAAGAGAAGTGCTTATTTTTTGCATCCACCTTTACATAAAGGGAAGAAACAATCCAACCTATTGAAACAGTACCATAAAAAACATTAGAAACACAAATTAAAATAGGCAAGAAAATGGTAAGTGAGCACCTGTCCACCCTAGACGAATTCATATCACCAGGACCAGATGGATTACACCCTAAGGTTCTGAAGGAACTGGTAGGCGTGATCTCAGAACCACTGAACTATATCTTTCAAATATCCTGGAGCACAAAGAACTACTAGAAGACTGGAAAAGAGCTGATGTACTGTGTTTCCCCAAAAATAACATCCGGTCCTTTCTTTAACCTCCAAAAGAGGCACCAGGTCTTATTTTCGGGGGGGGGGGGGTGTCTGACTGCGAAAGGCAGGCCGGAGCTCCATTCTCAGTTGCAGAATGAAGGTACTCCTTTGGTCTCAGAAGAAATAGGCCAGCGAGGCAAGTGTTGATCCATGGGAGGCCTGGCTGCAATGAAAAGCTCCCACTCCCACCCTAGCTCAATTTTTAAGTTGCACCTCACCCCAAAACTAGGGTTATTTTTGAGGTAGGGCTTATATTAGGCCCACCCCAAAAATCAAGCCAGGGCTTATTTTCGGGATAGGTTTTACTTTTGGGGAAACACGGTAGTTCCCATCTTCAAAAAAGGAAAAAAAATAGATCCAGGAAATTACAGACCTATCAGTCAGTAATACTTAGGAAGATTCTGGAAAAGATAATCAAGCAACAAATCAGTAAACACCTAGAGGCAAACAAAGTCATAACCAAAAACTAACATAGATTTGTCAAAAAAGATCATGCCAGACAAATTTTATTACATTCTTTGACAAGGTGACAAAATTAGTGGATCAGAGGAATGCTGTAGATATCATTTACTTGAACTTCAGTAAGGCATTTGATAAAGTGGACCACAACCTACTACTAGATAAGATAGAAAATTGTGGGTTAGATAGCATCACCACCAGATGGATTCGTAACTGGCTAACCAACCACACTCAATGTGTAGTCCTCAATGGAACTGCATCTACATGGAGGGAAGTATGCAGTGGGGTAATTCAAGGCTCTGTTCCAGGTCCAGTACTCTTCAACATCATCATCAATGATTTGGATGAGGGAATAAATGGGAAATGCTTTAAATTTGCAGATGACACCAAGCTGATAAGAATAGCCAACACTCCAGAAGACAGGCTTAAGATACAGGAGGACCTGGACAGACTTGAACACTGGGCGCTATCTAACAAAATGAAATTCAATGGTGAAAAAAGTAAGGTTCTACATTTAGGCAAGAAAAACCAAATGCACAGGTACAGTATCGGTGGTATCTTGCTTAATAGTAGTAACTGTGAGAGGGATCTTGGAGTCCCAGTGGACAATCACTTAAATATGCCAGCAGTGTGCTGCAGCTTTTAAAAAAGCCAACACAGTTTTAGGCTGCATTAACAGAGGGATAATCAAGATTACGTGATGTGTTAATACCAGTTTATAATGCCTTGATAAGGCCACACTTGGAATACTGCACCCAGTTTTCATCACCACGATGTAAAAATGTTGAGACTCTAGAAAGAGAAGAGCAACAAAAATGATCAGGGGACTGGAAGCTAGAACTTACAAGGAACGGTTGCTGGAATTGGGTATGTCTAGTTTAATGAAAAGAAGGACGAGAGGGGAC